GAAATATATTTAGAAAGGAGTGTGCTCAGCTGGAACTGAAACTAGCAAAAAGTGTCAAGGATTACAAGAGAAACTGTAGGTGCGGTCCTGACAGCTTAGTGGTAAATGACTGTAGAGACTGAAGTATTACAGGTTCTCTTTGCCTTGGTCAGCATAGGAATGGTCAGCTCCCAAGTCTCTGCCAAGAGGCAACAACAAAGTAAAGAGCAGATCCCCAGTACTACGGGAGAACTAAAGTAAGACCAGTTTGTACAAGCTGGATACACAGATGTGAAGGATCTGATGAGATGCATCTGCAAGTACTTGAAGAGGTGATCCTCTAACATCAATTGGTGACTCTCTAGGTTATTGCACTATCAAAGCAACTGGCAAAGAGCAGCTGTTACACCAGTCTGCTATTTCTTTCAGCTAGACCTGGATTGATTTCTTGCATTGCATTCTCTTGGAGATGTATACATCTGCCTTTACAGGTGCCCTTGTTAGTGTTTTTTTTTTTTAGTAGTTACAAGTTGAACAGTAACTTCGTTAGAAGTTGGCCTTTTGCCTCAGAATTTTAATTCAGTATCATATTTTCCTACATGGAGAGAGTATTAATTCACAGACTGCATAATTATTCTGTGTGGGAATAAGCTGTGGATTACACTGCAATTTTTAACATTGTAATTGGAGAAGTAGTAGATCTTTTGTTATCCTACTTGAAAGCATAGTTATAGCTCACAATTTCCTTATTAAACTGTTGCTGGGGTTGTTAAATGTATTGCACATGGTGCCTCTGTGCTGTGCAGTTTCCTGTATTCCTACTTTTGTGGTTCTTGCGCACAAGATACTGAGAAATTGGATAGAATCTGCACAAGATCATCTTCTCGTGCTCTTGGAAGTCACTTCCTTAATTAAGTTTTGGAGTGCAAACAGGATTGGCCTGCTTTCTTTTTACCAGATCAAAGCTCAAAAATAAGCTCAAAGTAAATACACTAGAATAAGAATTTAATATTTTACTGTACCTTAAATACCTGTGCATGAGTCACATCCTTTCCTCTTCTGCGGTTTCATTGTGAAGTGGAAGTCAAAAATGCTGCAGAAAACCTCACTAGAGTGACACTGTGGAACAGCCACCAAATGAATAGCCAATTTAAAACAAACAAAAAAAGCAGGATGTTAATTGCATCAGAGTTTTGCACTCAGTATAAGTAAGGTTTTTCTATTAACCAAAACAAACAATTCCATGTTTCCCCAGTTTTTGTGGGAAAATAGAGTGATGGATTAAAGTGAAATAAAGATCCTTCAAAATTGACGGATCTCTTTAGATATGTTGGTAATATTTAAAACAGCACGTCTTCCTTAGAGTAGTTTTAAGGGTTGATCTGTGTATACTGTGTTGTGTATATATTTACTGTCAAGCTGATCTGCGAAGGAATGATGTTTAGACTGCAGTTTTGAAGTTAATGAGAAATCTGATTGAAAGTTGTCTCCCATCAGTTTGTTTCATAAATTTAGATGTGATGTTTCTTTGAATTAAGTTAATTCAAGTAGAGTTTCTTTGCCGCTCTGCTCCTTGTATAGCTTTAGGAGGAAGCTGGCCTGTATTAACAACTGCTAGTAATCTGAACATGACACTGCGTAGTCTTGAAAAGGGAGTTTGTGAAGTATTGTAAAGTACTGACAAACTAGAAATGGTGAGCATAAACTCTAGAATGACAGGTACTTTCAGCTGGTTTTAGCTGTATTTCTGAATGGATAGGGTTGAATTTGTGGGACTAATTATCAAGATGACAGAAAGTAGAATACAGATAAAACAATGATTCATGCCTTAGTACAAACTGGGTGCATGTGGGGACACAATTAAAGTGTATGCCCTGCAGCAGTTAGTTGGATTTAGTTTACTTGTAATTCAGGATTTCCCTTTGGGTAGAAGGCAATACAGAAGCCTGCTTTAGTACAGTGCAGACACACAGTACAATTCCTAAAGTCTTTTGGGAGTTGTAATGCAATGGGAAGAGCAACAGTAACAGCAGAGTAGCAAGATCCCAGACTGCATTGTGTGAGGTTTTACTCAAATACAACAGTAGTGGGCATAGAAATAAAGGAAAGAAGTTGCTTCCCTTCAAGAGTACTCAAGTATGCAGGGATCTCCAGAGAGATACCCTTGCCTCCATTGCTAACCCTTAAAGGAAGTTTGGAAAGGGGTGGCGCCAGGATTCACCCTTTCCATTCACTCAGGTGCACTGCATACACCTGAGCTCTACTGGATTTGTCCTGCCTTCCTACCAGGTGTTCAGTCACTGTTTCAAGCCAAGACTTAGTATTTCCTCTATGGTGGTGAATGTGGGGAAGTAGATAGGTCAACATAGCCACATATTTTAGCTGTGATCCATGGGGAAGTTGCAGAGATTTAGTCTTACTATTATTATTTTTATTTGAAAATTTTAACTACATTGTTGCTGTCAGGACTTGTGCAAATATTATTTGCAGATACTCTGAAGCACTACTTGGGATTACAGGGGGGATCTTTAAAACAGCTGAGAACAGAAGTCTTTGGTTGAACTGCATGCTTCTTCACGGCTATCGAAGCAACATGAAAACATGAAATCATAAAATCATAGATCATAGAGTGGTCTGGGTTGAAAAGGGCCACAATGATCATCTAGTTTTAACCCCTCTGCTATATCCAGGGTCACCAACCAACAGACTAGGCTGCCCAGAGCCACATCCAGCCTGGCCTTGAATGCTTCCAGGGATGGGGCATCCACAACCTCCTCGGGCAACCTGTTCCAGTGTGACACCACTCTCTAATATCCTTCCTCCTAATATCTTAACCTAGATCTCACCTGTCTCGGTTTAAGACCATTCTCCCTTGTCCTATCACTGTCTATCCTTGTAAACAGCCTTTCCCCCTCCTGTTCATATGCTCCCTTCACAGTGAGGTCTCCCCAGCACCTTCTCCAAGCTAAACAATCCCAGTTCCCTCAACCTTTCCTCAAAGGAGAGGTGCTCCAGCCTTCTGATCATCTTATTGGCGCACCTCTGGACCCATTCCAAGAGCTCTGCATCTCTCTTGTGTTGGGGGCCCTGTGCCTGGACGCAGTGCTCCAGATGGGGCCTCACAAGAGCAGAGTAGAGGGGGACAATCACCTCTCTCTCCCTGCTGGCCGCCCCTTTTTGAATGCAGCCCAGAACACAGTTGGCCTTCTGGGCTGCAAGTGCACACTGCTGGCTCATGTCCAGCTTCTCATCTATCAAAGCTCCATGGGGCTGCTCTCAAGGAGGTCTTCCCCTAGTTTGTGTGAATACCTGGGATTGCCCTAACCCAAGGGCAGCACATTCTAATTGATGTTATTGAACCTCATTAGGTTTTCATGGGCCTACTTTTCCAGCCTGTCCAGGCCCTACTTGGATGGCTTCCCTTCCTTTCCAGTGTATTGACTGCACCGCTCAGCATGGTGTTATCCACGAACTTGCTGAGGTCACCCGATGCACTCAGCTATGTAACTGATGAAGATGTTGAAGAGCACTGGTCCCAAGAATAACCCTGTGGGACACCGCTTGTGACCGGCCTTCACCCTGGTACAGAATCATTGATCACAGCCCTTTGGCTGTGTCCAGCCAGCCAATTCCTAATCCATCAAACAGTCCATTCTTCAAATACATACCTCCTCAATTTAGAGAGAAGGATGTCGTGAGGGACCATGTAGATTTTTTGGTCCACAGCCTTTCCTTTGAAAATTACTTTTCAATGGCATGCCATGTGAGCAGGATTTCAGTGTATCGGCATCTTGTTATATAGGTAGTAGTATGCTTTTAGACAAAGTCTTAAAAGCAAATCCCAAACATTAACTATTGAAATAGAAATGTTTTAGTTATTCAATTCCTATATCAGTAACTTTTATAGTAGGTATTGTCACCGAGTTTTGTAAAGATCCTTTCAGTAGCAGAACTCTATATAATAATGCATTTGTGAAGGTAGTTTGCAGCTTTGTATTACTTGAACGTCAGTTCAGATTTATGAATGCCAATTTTGTTTGCTTTTGAGGTTCCTGTCAAGATTTTTGTCTCCACTTTGAATTACTAAGGTAGCAATTGTGAAGAGTTCTAGCATTTTGCTGCAGCGCGCACTTGTCTGCACTTTCAGGTGTACACTGCTTAACTGCCCTCTCTCTTCAATTGCAGTACATCAGTTCCATGGAATGTTTTAAAAGATATCTGATGTTATGAATGCTATATTATGTTGTTCATTGGGAAACATGCGAATGTGTGCCTCATTGACATACATAGAATAACAAAGGTGAAATGAGACACTTTAGTGTCATATAGATATTCTTTTATTTTTTTTATTTTTTATTTTTCATTTTATAAAAATTAAGTCCAGAATTAAGTCCAGAAAGATACAAAAGAGGAACATAGGACTGCTTAGTTTTAAGTCAGAGTTAAATTTTTGACTCAGCTGAAGTCTGATGCGTTTTCCTGGTATTTTCATTCTCAGGGTAGAGAAACAAAACTTTTTTTTTTTTTTTTTTTTTTAATTGATTCTTTGGTTGAGAAATTGTACTTGGCTCAGTGTAGAAGTTTTTAGTTAGATAAATATTGTCTGTTACTGTAAAAATATGCATCCTAAGTACTTCTTCATATTCCAGTAAAAGAATAACAACAAGGACGCAATAAGAAAATGGCGTAATTATTATACTTTGTGACACAGATGAGAAAATAGAAGTACATGTCAGATGAAGTGTTAACCTAGCTTTATTGTTTATTAATATGAGAAGAAGTAATACCACTGCAAAGAGCAAAATTAATGAAAATCTACTGTGTAATTTGACTTTTTCTTATGATGAAATCCTGTGTTTTCCTTGCAATCTGTGGAAAATGAATGAATGAAATGACCAATTTGAACCATTAATGTCTCAAAGTAGACTTTTTTTTTTATACACGGCTATATTTCACTTCTAAAAACAAATGTACAGTACTGCATACAGTTTGCTAACATGTATGTGAAATGTCACTTACAGGCGCTGACCTTAAAGAAAGAGCGAAAATGCATTCAAGCGAAGTCGGTTCTTTTGTCTCAAAAGCAAGAGCAACTATTAATGAGATGGGTATGTAAACTATCCTTTAAACAATGTTTTTAAAACATAATCTGTAAAAGATTAAATCAACATGCTTGGTTAATGCTTGATAGGTAGAAAGATATCCACAAATGTTTATATTGGTAAGTATGACTCATGATGCATTACTTCTTCAGAATTTGCCTCAAAGAGTTGGACTTGCTTTTTTTCTAGCATTCTAAAAAATCTATGTTTAACTGCAACAGAGGTTACTTGCCCTGCTGTTTTTATAAAGGATGGGTTGTTCTGTGACACTTGAGTGCTTTGGAATTTATTATTGCATTTTTCTGTTTGGTTTAGTTAATACAGTCTTTCATTACTGTATCCCAGTGCAGAACCTAGTATTTACCTTGGTTGAGTTTCATGCCATTGCTGCTTGCCCAGTGTTGCAGTTTGTCTAGATTCCTCTGCAAGGCCTTTTGTCCAACAGTATCTCCCAGTTTAGTGTTAGTAAACTTGCTGAAGGTGCATTCTACTCCAGCATTTGGAATCACTGATAATAATATTGAATAGAACTGGCCCTAGAATGGCTCTGATGAGCACCACTAGTGTCTGACCAGCCAGATGTAGTGCCATTTGCAGCCTGTTGACCTCCGCAGTTCAGCCAGTTCATCACAAACTGTAGAATGAATCTGTTTATCTCATGCTTTGATAACGTGTCCAAAAGGATGCTTTGGGAGACATAATCAGAACTGTTACTATAGTCCAGAAAGATGACATCTGACACCTTGTTTTTATCCACCAACCAGGTGATCTTAACATAGGAGATCAGATTAGTAAGGCAGGGCTGTGCTCTTTAAATGCCTTTCAGTATCCCCCAGGATAATCTTTTCAATAACTTTCTGAGGGATTGAGTTTAGATGACAGATCTGTAGTTTTCTGGGCATACTCTAGTGTACTTTACGTAGCCAGGTATAGTACTAGCTAGCTTCTAGTCAGCAGGGCCCTCGTCGGGCTCTCAAAAACTTTGGTAAACTATTGAGAGGAGTCTAGACAGTCACAGCATCAAGTGACTCCCTCAGTACTCTGGGGTGAATCCCATCAGACCCTGTTAATTTGTGGACATTCAGCTGATAGAACTGTTACCTTAGAATTTCAGTGACCGCAGATGAAAAATTGCTGCTCTCCTAGTTATGGTCCACCACCTCAGATGACTAGACTACTGCACGTCAATCAATAACATTATATACTGAAGCAAAAAAGGCAATAAATACCGTAACATTTTCCTCCTTATTTTTTAGGTGACTACTTTCATGAAGTATCAATCAAATGTATTCTTTGGAACTCCTCTTTCTGTTAATATGCGTTTGTTCTGGCATAGAAAGAACTGTCAGTAGTTTGGAATTTTATTTCAAATTGATTTGTACCAATTTTTGATGGTAGCAATTATTCTGTAAACTACGCTAAATTCTCCATCAGATTATTGCATTTCTACAACTATACTGATCAGATACGACATAACTGGTTTTGAAAAGGGCTTTGCAAATTCTTTATCAGAAAGAGAAATAAAGTATACAAAGTTTGAAACATTTATTTCATATATTTGATTTGTATAAGCAACATGTTTCATCCCTTGAAGTTTTGAGATTTTCTGATGTAAGAAGAGTATAAAACATTGGTTAAAAAAAAAAGAAGTAAAATATCTAGAAATGAGTAAATAATTTCCTTCAGTGAGCGCTGTTTCATGCTGCAACTTGTCCTTTTATTGGACTGCAACGCAAGAAGCAACATCTTGTTTCACTTAGCCACTGTGTAAGATTTTTAGGAGCATTTTGTAGCTGTAAGTTATTTCTAATCCTTTTTTGGACTAAAGTTACTGGAAATACTGTATGAGCTGTGGTTAAATGGGGGCAATCAATTTTTTTTGTGGTTTTTTTTGTTTGTGTGTTTGTTTGTTTTTGTTTTTTTTTTAAGTGAGAAAAATCCAGACCTGAAGAAGTATTCACATTAGGCATTTTGGCATTTTTCGCTAAATAACTAGAAGGAGTTTAATGCTTTATGTTACTTCTAATTTGATAAGACAGTAAGATGATCTTCAGCTTAATTAAAGTTCCTTTGAAAGTGTTTTAAATACTGAGTATGTAAGCAAATTGTTGGTGTTGCCTGAAAGTTTTACAGTGGCCCACTATGCTAACAGTGAATATATTGAAGTTTAGGAAAGTTATGAGTGTTTTCTCTCATGCTCTCTATAGTCTGTTTGTCAAGAAAGAGGCATGAAAGTGTGAGTAAATAGCTTTAGTACTTTAGAATGTAGGTCATTGAAATATCTGGATAGAAAAGTTTGTAGTAACATCTAATAGACAAAACTGCAGATTGGAAAAGAGAAAGAATTTGAACATGTCCCTTGCTAGATGCTGAAAGAGCATCTTCTTGTAAAAGTTGCATGAAAGATTCTTGGGCTTTCCCCCACTCCTTCTCTCCTCTCCCTCACACCCCTTTTTTCCATTCCTGCATTAAAACATTAAATGAATAGTCAGTAGTTTTTTTAATGGCTAGATGGTATCTGTTCATCTTCCCATTTATTTTTACACAAACAAACTAATGGTAATTTGTTGTTCAGGATTGAAGAAGGAAAATGAGATATCACTTCCCATGTTTCATTTCAGGTCATGTATTCATACATGTATATGATATGTATGTAGGTTTTTCAGCCTTTTCACATATTCCTTCTGTATATGTATTTGAGATATTGTTTTTTGAACACATTATGCAAAAAATATGAGGGCTGCTCTGAAAATAGTGCCTCCTATTTTATTATGCTGGCCCACAGCATCTGGGGAGGATGTTAGTGTTGTGGCAGTAGAGGTTGAACCTTCCCACTGATATCTCATTACATTTTGTTGCCATGTAACACATGGCAGTCTGACAAATGACGTCTGACTATAAGTGCATGTGGATCAAAGGTGTGTCATTGAATTCCTCTATGCAGAAAAAAAGGCAGCCAGTGACGTTCATCAATGTTTGCTGAAGATTTATGGAGACCAGTGTTTGTGAGCACAGCGGTGGGTGAGTGTTGAGTTTCAGCAGTGGTAACTGCAGTGTAAAAGACACGCAGAATTCCAGTGGCCATGCTCAGCTGTCACAGTACAAAAGGAAGAGCATCTCAGTTAGCTCTTTTCATGAATCAGCAGATCAAAACCAGGCAACAGAAACATAATATTGGCTTCAGTATGTTGGAAACAATGGTAGCAACATTGAAATATCAGTTTGCTCCAGGTAGATCCAAGAAGGCTCATCTGGGAATAGAAGGACACCACATTCAAGTTTCTCGGGACCTGTTGAAACAGTATGAGGCTGAAGGTGACAGTTTCCTGGATCACATCATTACTGGTGATGAGCTATGGTGTGTCACCACTACAAGCCAAAGTCAAACCAGTAGATCATGGAGTGACAGCATAAATTGCCTGCTGTAGAAAAAAGTTCAAGATGCAGCTCTTAGAAGTTAAAGTGGTATGTACTGTTTGTTCTGACAGACAAAAAGGGGATGATCCTTCTAGATTTCCTGGAATCTAGAGAAACGATCAACTCTGACTGCTAAATTGTGATGCTGACTAAACTGAAGACTTGAACTTCCACTGTCATGTCAGAGGAAGACAGCCTTTCACACCAGGCCTCATACCAATTTGAAGACTGCACACAGCTAATGATGGTGACCTTTGAAAAATAGTGTATTGTAGCTGAGAATTTGCTCTGTCAAATAGTGAGTGGTGTCTGCTGTAGTTTCTGTGGAAATTAAAAGGAGGCATAACTTTCAAAGCAACTTACATATTTATTGAATTCATCTTTTGCTTTTCTGAGAGGTTTTTGTTAGAAAATTTAAACTTCCACTGAAAGTGATAGAAAATATTTTAAAAGTGAGTTTTATAAATGGCAGATTAAATTGGTGCATACGGTGTGATGCTATCTGTTGCCCTTATGAATAGAAGTGAACATCAATTTTTTGGCAAGAGTTTTCACTTCTTCTTTTCTTTTTCTGAAGAACTTGTCTGGCATTACAGAACCTAATTTTAGTAGAGTTAGTGGGCTGTTTTATTTGCATTGAATTACTCACAATGAATTAGTACGCTGAAAAAAAAATTGTGCTAGTTTTCCTGCCCAGTAACAACCAAAATGTTGTGACGTGTTTGCAGGGAAAACAATTTTGTAGTGATTATTTGCAACTGCAGAATGCGATATAGCTAGGGGACAATATTTTAAGTTTTCCATCTTGTTCTTTATTCTATCCAAGTATTATGCTGTTATCCCATTTAAAATGTGTTATTCTTTTTGCTTTTCAGAAATAGATCATGTTTTGATAATTGTGTTTGTTTTCAGATGTCTGACCTAGTAAGGAAATGTGTCTTTCTAATAGTATTTTCAGTAAGAAGAATCTTAATTTATCTCTACAGACAAAATACAGGAAAAGTTAATTACATCTTGAACAGCTGGATAAACTTAGCTTTCTTGAATTGACATGCCTTGGCTTTCTTCAGTTCCTGTCAATTTCGTTATGTTTAAAATCCTTACATTAGTGATTTTGTTAAAGTCTGTACCATCATTTTGGAATACAACTGCAAATACAACAATTTTCAGGAAATTAAAAGCATACTTTGCTTGTCTGTATGGGATTTATTTATGACTTCTTGCTAAATTTGGGTAAAGCACTAAGACTGCAGTAAATATCACTTAGTATTAAAATGAGCACTTAAAAAAAGCTGAAAATATTGTACTGAGCTGTTAATTGCAGTTTTTAGACCTTTAAGTTGGAAGGAAAAAAAGTCAAAATAGGATATATTTTTAGCAGTGGTTGCATCTGCTAAAATTATACCAGAGTTGTGTGGGTTGTTACGTGTTGGTTTTTTTCCCTTTTTCCTTCTTTGCTTTCCTCCTCCTTCCCTCCTCCTTTCCTTTTCCTTTCATCCTGCTTTCTTCTTTTTTTAAATATTGGGAGTAAGACTATTTGTCCACTACCATATTCAATCTTGAGGCTCTTCATCGCTGATCGAAGACTG